TATGTGTCATCACGCCCTATATAAATCTATATAAGGAATTTGTAAGTCATTGTATTACAACTGATGAAGGTCTCGGACCGAAACGTATTTTATTAAACTTTCTCAGACTTTTTATTTGAGTATATGTCTTTCTTAGCTCGAAGTTGTCCGCCCTCGTGTACTACAATATTTATATATATATATGTGTGTGTGCGTGTGTGTGTGTGTGTGTGTGTGTGTGAGTGTGTGTGTGTGTGTGTAGTCTCTTAGATACAACCAGTTGAGAAACGGTGTATCAGGCTTTTTAGCGCTTAAGTTGCCTGATTGAGTCTATAAGACTGATGACTACTAGCCACAAAATTGACAAGACAAACCATAACTCACAGAGTTTGAAGATGGGTGTTTCTCCAAAAGAGAATGGTATGCAGGCTTTTCAGATGATTGTGCCTTAAGTCCCTAGCAAACAATTCGTATGCTATTTAAAATGGAGGCATTTAAAAACTCTGCAGGGGCAGAGCTGTGGAATGACAAACTTTTTAGAATCCCTCGAGAGAATAATTCATTTAATGTTAATTTTGGCCTTGTTATGATGAGTATTACCTAACTCGGCAGGAACAATAGCTGGAAGAAATGCATAACGGTTCTATTACTTTCTTAAAGGGAAGATAGGTAGGTCTATATGTGTGATTTCAGTCTGAATTCTACTTTCTTACAATAGAGCCAATTTTTGATTCTTCTTTTTTCTTTTTTAGAGAGAGTAATTGATTTATGGGAAATGTGGATTTTAAATCAAGAGCTTTAGCATGTGGTTTTAGTCAGTTCCAATAACTGTGTCCAACAAAGAAACTGAGGGATGGGGTAAGCATCTTAGAATGTTCTGGCTAAAACTTGTTTTCCAATCCTGTCCTGTTCTGATTCTATTCAAGATGGGGTTTTAAAAAGTTTTGAAATTGTACAATTCACTTCATCAGCTAAAGAAACAAAATGGCTAGAACTTGCTTACAGGCTTCGGGTCCGATAAGTTACCGGAATTTACGGAAACAGGCCACTGGCCGAGTCAATGTCTTTATTACAAACATAACATAACATAACATTTATTCAGGAAGTCATGACACAAATACAAAATACTTCCTGAAAAGGGAAAATCGCGAGGTTAACCCTGTATAAAAACAATTTCCCCAACTAAAAAAAACACAAAAGATAAAACTTAATGGCTATAAATTCAATAAATATTCAAAAAATATTGAAATGAATTTTAAGTGTACTCTTAGAAATAGACAATTATTCGGCGTGTACAATGTATCCTGGCGAGCCATTCCATTTCCCCACTATGCGAATGAAGAAGGAATATTTGTAACAATTACAAACCGCTCTTTTCGGGTAAAGTTTATAGTCGAGGTTAGCTCTTGTACGCTTATTTGCAAATACAAAGAAATGTGGGAAAGAGAGGTGATTGTGTTGTGTTCTTGGACATGCGCAGCTGAAACACTTTACTCTCATATTACTTCCCTTCACCCCAAATTAGCAAATTGCCAGGGAAAGCTGATGAAGTGCTGTGGGTAACCTCTTCGTCGCTTCATGCCAAGGAAACCGAGATAAGCTTGAGTACAGACGTTACTTTTAATTTTTACTTACAAAGCTGTCAGATCCGTATTCCTTTTGAAGGTGCTCGAAGAAAGCTCTCTCAAATAGTTGTTGTTTAAAACTCTATCACGATGAGATGAAATCATGTGTTACTGGAAAAATAATTAATTCGCTATTGACTTCCAAATCGAGACGTACGCGCCTTAATTTTTGTATAATAGCACAGATTACATTACGACTAAACTAGAAATAACCGAAAAATGCAGTCAACAAAGGTGAGTATGAATGCATAGGGTACATAATTTCGTGCAAGATAGAGTTTTATGAATAAAGGATAAACAGAGACATTCGAATCATTGAGACAGAAACCACCGCCATTTCGAAAGCACGCCTGCCTGAAGAACACTGCTCACGACAGCGAGAGTGATCACATCATGAGACAAGCCATGATACTTCATTCCAGTACTGCGTTGCCAGAACCATTTTCATGACTAGGTCATCAAGACGTGTTTACTTACATTCCTTTTAGCTTAGTACAGCTGCTGAAGATGTTGGGGGGGAGCTCCTTCAAATGGTTGTGGTTTAAAATCCTATCAATATGAAATAAGTAAGTATTGCAGAGAGTCAGTTCTGGAAAATAAAGCGAGTTAGCGAACAAAAAGGTTGTATATTCAACGCTTTTTTTACAGAGTTTTCATCCTGCCATGCAAGATATTTCTATCCAAATTTTAGCTATTGACGCCATATCTAATTCCTTCCAGCGTTTCATTATCATAACTATTCTGTGCGGTGTACTTTCATCTATAGACACAAAAAGCTATAAGATAATTTAAAATTCCCAACTGTGTGTATGTCGCATTACTTTCTCATAATATACCACGAGGTATTACGCTCGTTACTTGTCACTGTTTCCTGGTCTAAACCAGAAAATTTAATGGCTTGTGTGATGATCCACGTTATGCCCCTCGAAAGCGTTTTACACTTACGGCGGGTAAAAGTCCTTTTTCACTTGCTCTCGACTGAGAACTTGTAAAAAATCCATTTACGCTAAACATTAACATGTCGAATTAAAGTCCCGATACCTCGCTCCGACGATGGGCTAACGCTCGAAACGTCAGCTTTCATAATCGTAACGGTGGCCAATTTACTATTTCAACTTTGTTGATATATTCAAATTACTAAGTAATAAAGGCCTGATACTTACAGTACTTGTAAATAAATGCAATTACTGAACGCGTCTTCTGGCAAAAGCTCCAACTGGTTGTATTCAAGACTTCTGTAAAATTAATTACCACCAGATTGCTTTACTTCTTAGCAAAATATAAATCAAGTGAAAGCAGGGGAGCATAAAAATCTTGACAATACCTTACAAAAATGCAGTAAACAATAATGGCATGGATAAGTTCTTAGTCATAAATTCAGTTTTTGTTTTAATTTCGGTTGTATACCGCTATATGAACTTAAATGCAGCAATTTTTTTCGAACTTTACAGTGTGGCTTTCATTTTTAGTTGTGGGTACGCGAAGCGTAGAAACGACTATTAGAATGGGGCAGAATATGTAAATGTGTCACTCACTCAGATGTAAACGAATCAATATGTCGACGGTAGACCAATAGGCCATTGCAGAAACGTGAGAGGACTGGGACGAGTTCCTTATATTGATTACATTGAAAATCTAAACATTTCAACTGAAATGTTACTGAATGAAAAGCTACCCAGCCAAGTTTGAGAGTTTTCAGCGGAAAAGTGTCCAAATTGGAGCCTTGCAAAAGTTGCAAAAATTCCATACAAACCCTTAAAAATTTTTTTGCCCTGTCTACTACCTTATCCATACAAACTCTCTATTTTAGGTGATATTTGAAATTCAGTCATTTTGCCATTTTCCTTCTCTAAATACTTCTATTCTTGCTTAACACTCAAATTTAGTTGATCTTTCATTTGAATATCTTAGTTTTTCAAACAAACGGAAAATAACCACACTCTTTTCCAGTCCTCTCACGTTTCTGCAATGGCCTATTGATAGCGACCTTTCGAAATTGTACGGGAACGCCTCTATCACATATCCGACGTAATACTGCGACGTTAAAATTTAACTCGACGTTTCTTCGAAGGAGTTTCAATTTTAATTAAAATACTCATCGCAGTTAGCATATGTGTAACCGAGTCGAAGGTCTTTGAAAGACTGAAGATGTAACTATGAGTGAAGACGCCTAATGCAATCGCTTTCCCGCGATGATCTTATGCCATCATTTGCATTATTGTGGAATATTCCTCGCCGTTCCCGAGTATATTTTGTTTTTAACAAAGCGTCCAGCCACAATCGTTCTTAAAGACAATTTCAAGCCTTCATTCTTCTCACTGGGAGCCGAAGACGCTTAATGCAATCACTTTTCCGCGATCATCTTTCGCCATGATATGCATTATTGTGGAATATTCCTCGCCGTTCCCGGGTATATTTTGTTTTTAACAACGCGTCCAGGCCACAATCGTACTTAAAAACAATTTCATGCCTTCATTCTTCTCACCGCGAGCCGTCAGTATTTATATCGTGATATATCGCTAAAATGAGTAACCGGCGAATTTTTACAGGGGAAATCGAAGTGTTGTTTTCGTGACTGGCCAATTGTTTACTTTTCTGATGGTTTTTACCTCTCATCTGTTTGGTGACTACGCAAACTTTAATTGTGAAAATCACTGTGTGTACACCCCTGAACGTTAAAAATATATCAAGTAGAAGGTACACTTTTGGTCTAAGTCCACATTTTTGTAAAACAAAATGAAAATATACACATCTCGGTTTAAAAGGTGAAGAGTTCGTACCACATACAAAAGCTATCTTCTTTTTTCAATACTGACATCTCGCGCGCGAAATGAGAATACTAAACGATGGTTTGAAATTCTATTTGAGAACGATTTTGGCCGCTTTATTAAAAACCGAACTCAGTGACCACTTTTTTAAAAACAAAATATGCGAGGAAACGGGCAAGGAATATTCCGAAATAGTGCAAAAGATCATGAAAGTGATTGCTAAAAGGCGATTGCGTGACACTCGGTGAGTTGTAAGATGACGTATGTTATCATGTATCAGACGAAATAACAGTTTTCAAAATGTTCAGTCTGTATTCTGTACCCAATCTGAAGTCTGCAGTCTGTATTTTGTACCTAGTCTGCATTTCGTACCCGGTTTTCAGTCTCTTTTTGTACTGACCGATAGCTAAAATGTGAATTCTGGCCATTTATCCAACATCACCCCAGCAATTCAAAGCAATACCATGTAGTTTCAACTGTATCCTGGAGTTACCCCATTGGAATTTAATTCTCTTCAAAACTCATTCAATTGCAATGTATCCCCGACTTATTCGCAGTTTCCTTTGATTAGTTATAAGAAGTATAAATACATACTTTAGGTGGAGAAAATAATATGTTAAGGGGTCCTCCTTACAGTGCAATTAGCGCTGCATTGCATTTTAGAAACCTCCACGGCAACTCCTTTAGCTCACTGTTTTCTAAACGCCTAGTAAATAAAATAAAATGATTCTCCATATAAAATCTACGAGACAATTAGGGCGGGGATTCAGGGTTCTCTAAGTCTTCCTGCGGTCACGTATTGCCTAACAATGGGACAAAATGCACAGATATGCGATTGCCTTCTTTAAAAGGAAGCGCCCTAAAATTTATTAAAAGTCACAGTAAACGATCGGAGCAAAAACAGTACGCAACCAAAATACCTTGCTATCGTCGACTTTTACATCGACGCATTCCGCTTCTTTGCGGTTTTGAGTATGCGCCGTAAGCTAATAGATAGACATAGATAGACGTTTATAGACGTTTATTAAAAGATACCTTAATAGCAGCTGGAAGCTGAATTGCAAAGGTGTACAAATTATGTAGGAGAACTATACAATAAAATCAAACCCAAAAGGGAACTAATTTACATATACAATTATAATTAATGTTAGTTAAAATGTCTTGCGCTTGCTGGAATGAAAGTATATCTGAACCGATTTGTTTTAAAGGAAACTCTAACTGGTCTGCGTCGTCGTAATTCCATAAGTTGATTTCGGTTATCGAAAGGCAGTAAGTGGTATAAACAATCCAAAAGATTGGAGACAATGTTGTTAAAGAATTTTAAGCAAAGGTCTTCTCTCCGATCCCTTAGGGTTTTCAACCCTGCCATCTGAAGCACTTCTCTATAGTGATTATCACAACCGTATATAATTTTCAAGGCTCTCTTTTGGACACGCTCTAAACTTAAGCTCAAATAATTGGGGAGACTATAATGGTAGACCTGACATTCATAAAGTAAGATAGATTGAATACACGAAACGTAAAAATTTGCTAATTCTGGTGATGGTACCTTAGCTCGCTTTAACTGAGTTAAAAAGTAAAGGCGCTTAGCGGCCTTTTTAACCGTCTCAGTAACGTGAGTGTTCCACCTGAGGTTGTCTTGAAAATACACACCCAGTAATTTCACGACACTAACGGTACTAACCTTAGAGCCATTAATTTCTGTAAGATCGTATGAAGTAGGGGAGCGCACAAAGGAAACTCTTAGCTCATTACATTTTTTTGGGTGGAGTTGAAACGAGTTGAATGTTGACCAGCAAGCTACTTCGTTTATGATAGACTGAGCATTGCTAGGGCCACCCTTGTTTATGATAATAATAATAATAATGATAATAATAATAATAATAATAATAATAATAATAAGGACTTCATCCGACGAAACACTCACCGACCTACTGCCACTACCGAAACAAACGACACCGCAACCCCTACGACTACAGCAACCATACCGTACATAAGAGGCATGTCTGAAAACATCTCCCGCATCTTACTACCCTTCAATATCCGCGTCACCCACAAACCCATCACCACACTACGTCAGTTACTAACCAACGTTAAAGACAAAGACGAACCGAGGAACAGACAGGGAACGATTTATAAGATCAGTTGTTCCGACTGCCAAGCCTCCTACATCGGTGAGACTGGCAGAAACCTCACAACAAGACTGACTGAACACAGACGGGCGACGAGGAAAGGTGATGTCAGCAATCACATTGCTGAACACCATCGACTTACCAACCACAACATTGACTGGGACTCTGCGCAATGCCTAACCTACAGCACTGACTATTTTCAACGACTGACTCTGGAAAGCTGGTTTACTAACTTAGAACAGACTCCCCTAAACAGATGTCAACAACTACCCGCCCCATACAAACGACTCATTCACGACATAAACATCACAAACGACCGAAAAAGAACAACCTAGCTTTACCGACAGACCGAAACAGACCAATCACGAACGACTTACGTCACTTGAGTCTTACAGCCAATAACATCACGGCAAAACCAACCGATCATTTCACACGAACTGGAATAAGAACATTCTACTGACAACAATCACTCACTTGACTCTGATGATGACTTCCGCACAGGTTGTCGAAACGTCAGTCACTGCCACCGACAACAGTCCTTCTCAGGACTACACTCACCCGGACGATCAGACTACACCTTCACATGTTACCCCCGGGTTCAAACCATTTACTGCATATTATATTCCGGCGGCCAACTGCCCCGGCCACATGGTAACCGGTTATATGACATACACGCTTGACTGCTGAATAATATCGCCTGCTCGATAAAAGGTGGAGCATTGATGTAGACGGAGAAACTAAGAGAACTAGTTTATCATGGTAACCAGTGATCCTTTAGCAACCTTCCAACATTTTATGTAATTGGAAGTCGGAAAATACTTTTTGTTTTGAGAAAAGGACAAGGACATAGGGTCTTTCNTTGAGTGTTGACCAGGTAGCTACTTCGTTTATCATAGACTGAGCATTGCTAGGACCACCCTTGCTTATGATTTCATACACTGTCGTGTCATCTACATATTTTATACAATCACTGGCTGATGGTACTTTCAAATCGTTTATCATAACCAAGAATAGCCACGGTCCCAATTTTGTTCCCTGCGGTACTCCTGCTCGGACCGATCCCCACTCTGAGAGACAATCATGTGCAAGTTTGACCCTTTGTTTCCTATCTTTAAGAAAGGCTATTATCCAATTAATGATGTAAGGGTTGATGTTGTAGGTCGAGAGTTTCGATAGCAAGAGGCTGGGATCTATCAGATCGAAGACTTTTCTATAGTGGATGCAAAGATCTGCACGGTATTGCCCGTTCCGTCTGTTGCTTGCGCCCAATTGTGCATCGGATTTATCAATGTGTGCGCAGTGGACGATCCTGGACTACACCCAAATTGGTCGGGTCCCAAACGTTTCAGAACTGCTGGTTTCACATGATCATGGACGACGTAGTGCTCGGCAATTTTTGATAACGTTGGTGTCAATGAAATAGGTCTCAAGTCTTCGCCGCATCCTCAACTATCTTTGTTTTGGGAAGAGGTGTTTGGGAAGAGGTGTTTGGGAAGAGGGGTGATGTTTGTACATTTCCAAGTGTCCGGTAAAGTCCCTTGACTAATAGAGGAATTGATGATACAACGAACGGGCTGAGCGAGCTCAGGAGCGAAGTCACGCAAGACCCAGTATGGAATATTATCTGGGCCCCGGCATTGGAGGAGATGACCGCACTAAGGCATTTGAAGGTAGTTTCCAGTGAAATAATGGGAGTTTTAAAACCTTCAGTGCTCACTATGTAAGCACGTGGCAAGTAGATTCAGAGTTGCCTTCATTCGTTTATTAAAGAAAGATACGTTAAGACTACGAAGAGGCTCCAAGTATCTTTACGTGGTGTCACAAGGGGGATGATGAAGTAGGCGAACAGATTCTATGGTGATTTAGCTCGTTACACTAGTAAAAGTGGAGGAGCAATCGACCCAACCGATCGTAAAAGCCACAATGACAACCGTGTTTTTTAAAAAAAAAGTCCTGCCATGGATTGGAGTACACACGGCAACTTATACAGCCTATTCAAGATGTGGAGCAAAAGTGTGAATTTTCAATTTGAAAGTTTGGCCTTCCTATTCTTTAAAGAAGATAATTCATAATTTTTTTGTTGGTTTCTTTTTTTTATATGGTTTTGTTCAGCTCAATTGTGTTTATTTCTTTCTTTTACTATATAATAATACAAAGTAATGATATGGGACCTTGAAAGTATAGTATTTGGGTCAAAACTAAAAAAACAACCACTTTTTGTAAATTCTTTTCCAAAATTCCTATCAAAAAATTTATCTGGTGGAGTTAAAAAAGGAACATTGACACATAGATTGGCAAAAATATCCCCCCCCACAAATAGCAAAAAGTGTATAAAAGATACTCACAATAAGAAAACCTTTTGTGGCAGTAACTGCAGAGAGTCAGAGGTCAGAAAACTCATAGAGCAGTTGGCCATTACAATGGGTATATTCCTTTCCTGATAACAATGACACTGATCTGGGCATCCTTATAAAAAGAGAGAAATATATATAATCAGCAGGAAATATCCTTCTTGATACCAGAGAAGAAATTAAGAGAAAAGCAAACCGGGATAAAATTATCGCAGATTTCTCATGCAAAACCGATCTTTGCGCTCGACAAAGTTCCAAGTGAAATCCACTGACATAAAATTCTGTAATTCCATAAATAAAGATATCTACATTTAACTGGCACTTACCAAAATTCAACTTCTCGGTACTGTCTGCCCATGATACCATTGAGATTATTACTGCCGCTACAGACACATAACCGAAATTATGAATATTGGTTATTAATGTTATCATTTTTAAATTCGAAAACAACAGCAACAAAAAAAAAACAGAAGTAAAATAAAGCAGCGACAAGAACATATCAAAGATAACAAAAAATAACAAAAAGCAAATAGATATATTGAATTCTCATATCTATAGACCTAAAATCGACTAAATCGATCTCCATGACACCTACGGACCATCTAAAAGATTATAATCAAGGAATTTAGACACGAATTATGAAAATATTATTTTTGATGGGGGACAAACCTTGCTGTAGCACTTTTTTCTCCCTTTCGTTATCGACTGTTTGTTTATCATGTAATTAGAGAGGCCATAAAGCAGTGCTCTACAATTATCCAATTTAGAAGAGACATGGTCAGGAATCGAACTTCCAGCAGTGTTTTCACTTCAGTGCTTCCTGATTTTATTAGTGTTCCTTGGGTGATTATGAGAGACCTTGCATCGAATTTCATATGCTGATCGATTCACACACCAGGGTTTCCTCGGACTTCCTCAGGTAATTACATAGTTTACATAAACCAAAAAGGGATTATTTTAGTGCTCCTAACAAAATACGAGGGATGGAATCCTTCACAGGTCTTAATTAATTACATGCCTTTAGGACAAATGAAATGGTGTTCAGTTTTAAGAATAGTTACATACAAAGCCAAAGAATAACAACGCATATGTTGCCGCTGGATAACATTGCTCCGTTCGACCTCTGGGCCTAGGGGAAAAAGTGATAAATTTATATCGATAAAATTTCTCATCGGCGAGTTTTCAATTTTTTAACTTGTTGTATACTCGTGTTTTCATAACTTAGGGCTTCTTTTGCTTTTTCAGTTGTTTCAGAAGGTATCGAGGATTTCAATCGTAATTTATTTATTCATTACATCAAGGATCTCTTGACAAATCTTATCTGTCCACTACATCGAAGGTCTCTTAGATTACTTTCCAGTCAACCCTTTTTAACTAGTAACAAACTAACTGGAGTACCAACCGTTCAAGTGGCTTGAACCATCTGTTAAACCTGACCGTGCACACGCTAAAAAACCTATGCCATCCCGAGTTAGGTATACCTGATTAACTGCTGTACGTTAGCACAAAAAGTTGAGAGAGTTTTGCATGCATGCAGTGAAGCGTCCGTTAGCTATATGTTGGCTTTTATTCGTACAAAGAAAAAGCAATAGGGTAAGTTTTTCCATGCACACTCACACCTCTTTGATGGGCCTGGGGTTGGTCGGTTCTTGAAAGTTATTTCCAGTTGACGAAAGCCCGAGATGAAACTGTATACAAATGATATAATCAAATAGTGTAGAGATTTAGCCGCTAAGTTAAACAATGAGAACATCATAATTATATTTCTTGGGTATAGATTTTTTTCCCTTTTATTCTGTTTCTAATCAAAATATGTGCTAAAAATTTAAAGTTAATCATAACTCGAAGGGGAATATATCGCGGAAAAAGTTTTCCAGTTTGAAGTAAATATAAGGAGACCCTATAATCTGTAATTCTCTAAAAGCAGGATCAACATGAGCTTCACAAGGACTTTGGGTAATAATTCTACTACAAGTGATTTTGTTCTGTTTTTTGTTTTTGTTGTTGTTGTTGTTGTTTTTTTTTTTCTTAAACAAGATGATTTTTTGAAGCTAATGAAGGAACGCTATAATCAAAGTACACGATACTCAATGCCAGGATAAAATAAGCTACGATAAACGGTTCGCTGCGAAGTAATACATGACAAAAAAGGAGAATGAGATGTCATTACAATCATTTAGAAATTTCCCTTTCAAAACACGTGTGACAGTGACCTCTCACGCGAAAACGTTCCTCAGGAATGAACGCACGGCCAGTGAAAGCACGGCAAGCGAACGGAAGAGAAACGGATAGCTAAGCCGTTTGAAACGGAACGGCGAAACAGATGCACGGATGAAGAAAATATTCTCACGCATGAAGTCAAACGGAAACACGGTTGAAAAAACTATTCGCACGGATGAAATCAAACGGATAAACGGATGAAGAAAATTCTTGCACGGATAAAGTGAAATGGACACACGGCTGACAAAAATTTTTGAACGGGTGTAGTCAAACGGATACACGGCTGACAAAATATAATTGCACGGATGCAGTCGAGTGGATGAACTGATAAAAATTTTTGAACGGATGTGGTTGAACGAACGGACGAATGAATAAAAATTTAATAATTAATTTTGAACCGCTGCGGTCGATCGGCCAGACGACCGAAGATAATAATCGTAATCGTAATACTCTTATTCTGGAACAAGCGACTTTGCAGCTTTATAAGAACGAACAGCTCGATCATTTTGTAATAAAGGACAACTGATTGATTCGAAAATCCTGATCTGCGTTGTAATTCATAGTTTCAAGAGTAATTTTTTTATTGCCTTTGCCGCGGAGAAACGACAGCGGTCTGTGCGCTAGTATCTCAGAACATCTAACCACAAAACAACAATAAGCCTAAAAGCAAAAGACGCGATATTAAGATATATAAAATGTCAAAATTATATACTAATCCACGCTAGAGATGTAACTCCTAATTCCACGTTTACAGTCAAGACAACAAGCGTACCCTCAGATCGTTCCAGCAACTAGTGTTAAAATCACATCGACATTCCTGTACGCGTAATAAGCAATGAATATACAACGAGAACTTCTCTGTATTTGGTCAGATTGAAAATCTTAGAGTAGGTTATATTTCTTAGAAGACATTTCCATCAAATTCAGGGAAACTGAACTGGTAGAAATTTTGTATTATTTTGCCTTGCGTGTGAATTCACGCATCATTACGCATGCAAGAATGCAAAGAGTGTCTCCTGCTGTCTGCGTCAAAGTAAACATTTTTCAAGATTTCTCTAAATTTTTAATTTTGTCGTACTTAGTTTACAAAATTTACGCAAAAGCTTACAAAAAGTGACTCCTGCTCGAGCGACCAAGTTGCGAACGGCTAGAGTGAATTAATCATGACTTTTTTGAACGGATAATACGACCGTTTGAACGGAAGCAAATTTTTTTCGCACGGATAGCCCGAGCCGTTCGAACGGAAGCATATTTTTTTCGCACGGATAGCCCGAGCCGTTCGAACGGAAGCAAATTTTTTTCGCACGGATAGCCCGACCCCTTCGAACGGATGCAAATTTTTTCGCATGGATAGCCCGAGCCGTTTGAACGGATGCAATTTTTTTTCGCACGGATAGCCCGAGCCGTTCAAACGGATGCCCAATCCGTTCGCACGGCATACACATGGCATCCGTGCGTAAAGGGAAAACCGTTCGGAAGTGAATATATAGAGTTTGAACTTTTTCGGGCGGCTTAGCGTAAGCGTACACGCATATGTCTCTTTTTTTTCGGCTTCATAAGATACATTTGTTCCAATTTCTTCTCAGATTAAGAGACTGAGTCTATCTTTTTCACCATCCGGATTATAAACTTTGTGTTTAGTTTCTTTTTAACGCTCTTTGGCTGTGAAAACGTGACTTGGATTTGATCGTTGCAATTTTACTTGCCTTAAATGTTCTCCCTTGAAAATGGCAGGACAATATGTTTCACCTACCAGCCACTCAGCTACTTCTGGTGTTAATGCAGTTTGCTCGGTAAAATGAATTTTTCTACCAAATCAACAGTTCTTTTGTTTTATCTAAACAACAGGTCCCATCCAAATGAGTACGTTTCTCGCCATCTAAGAAAAAAGAAAGGACGTAATTTAACTTACAGAAGCTGTAATCTTCCACTTCTGCTTTTTGCAAACACAGAGAACCAAGAACCACACCAAGATAGCTGCTTATGATCAGGCAACTGAAAGTATAAACAAACGCACATTAGTTATTATATTTTTTCAGAATCTCAAACAGCCTGTGCTCTCTCGCCTTTCTTTTAAGATTGTGATAATTCAGCAACCGAACGGTGTAATTAAAGAAGTGTTTTTTGTTCGACATCGGCATGAACTAGCTACTTAGATTTATTAATTGTAAATTTAGACATGCACTAAAGTTTTAGGAGACGCATGATTTTGATGTTTTGCAATAAACTCAAGTGCTGTAGCAAGTGCAAATTTCGTATTGTATGGTAGCCTTAAAAAAGTGTTCTAGATCTTTACTCTTCTGTCTGTTATAACTGGGCGCTTAATATATAGATCAGTTGTGTCCACTGATTAATTATTTAAGTAGACTTGCCACATTATATGAGCAGAGCAGCTTGTGTTGACTACACTGATTCGCAAACCGTTCAGGGTAATTTAAAAGTGTCTTTTCTTCGATGGCGGCATGAGGCATCTTTTAAAGTTAAGAGAAATGGCATAAAGCAAGGAAAAGGGAATACCTGCTGAGAATACCCTTTTCTTATTTCAGGGTTTAGGCTGCGCGAGGCTTTTTATAAATCGAATATTTTCAGCTGACGAATAAGCCACTTAGGTAATATGTTTTCATCCGAAATATGAAGTTCCTCAAGTAATATATCAAAAACGAGTGCGAGTGTTTCCATGATTAGGGGTTCCAAACACCGAGAAACAGATGGAAGCACGAAGCCGCGGCCGGGCATTGGCTTTGAAGATGTAAACTGATTCGTCACCATGGAGATTGGAAAATTGCCTACACTGTGTGCCTGCTGATAGTTACTGTTCGCTACGGTTCATTTGTTAGTTGTCTCCTTTGCGGCCCCATTTTCGCCATTTTTTCGCAGTTATGCGGTTTTTCGGTGAGCAGAGATCGTCCCTTAGATAAACTCTCTCGCAAATCCTGCGCTCCATTTTTATAAAAACAAACGTTATAGACAATTTGTTCTTCAGGTGTTTCGATTCTTGACAACCAAGGATATGGAGCCATAAGATGACGTAGGACGTCCTGCTACGCGGCACCGGCTTTCCACTTCGTCCTTTGGTGTTGCCGAAGAGCACAAAAGCCTCTAAACCCTTAGACGCTCGCTTTCCTGTACGGAAGGGACATGTAGACGAGAAAACTCAGGGTTAAGCGGGAGTGTCACACGTCACACCGATAGAAACAAGAATGTCATTGCCATGTTTTTGAGAAGGTACGAAGGTTCATGATGCTTTACAACACTTCCCCCCAACCATCACAGTGCAAACGATTGAACATACTTCCAGGAAAAAGCTAGTGAAGAGAAATAGCAAGTTATTGGACGATAACAGCCGCGGTAGAGGGTTCATTTCGCAGGAAGAATATGAGATCAAAGTCACCGAATAGGAAGATCGTGTCTGTTGTGCAGATAAGCAGTGGTAAAAACAAAGCAAAAGCTGATTCTCAACGACGTAATTCAGTGCCGTAGGTTCTGTTGATTCGAAGAGTTGAAACAGAAACATTTGTAAAACTAAAACAGCAGTTGATTGGGAAGTCAGGTTGTTGTTTTTTTTTTAATTTTTGTCTTTCGGAGGAACTGACTTCATCTGTAAATAATTTCTCCGACGTGAACAATCAATCACGGTCGCTCTTAAAAGAAACACTGCACCAATAAAATGGATATTTATGGAAGAAGTCCGTTTGTATGTTGTGCGGCTAGAGGAAACCAAAGATGAGAAGGCAAAATAAACGTCAAAGTGGATGTTGTATCCATTAGATATCTATGCCTGAGAGACGAATCGTTGATTTAGTTTCGACTAAGCCAATGATAACTTTGATTAATTTTGCATTTTCGATTTATACTTGTGACTTTTATTTTTAATTAATAGCTCAATTCTCACCCTTGATGAGTTATATCGGTGGTAGACACGGCTAAAAAAATTGAAGATACAGCTAAAAACAGGCTAGCTTACATGCAATCCTTTAAGGAGAGAGGAAATAAATGGAACTCTCCTCAAAACCACTCAGCATGCACTTATGAATTCTGAATTTCAATTTAGACATTTCAATGATTGCCTAACATATTTATTGTTCGGTTTTGAAGCTACCCAGCTGTCGGGAATGTTAAGAGCAGATCCGTGCAAGGATCAAACAAAATCGCAAATCTTCGGCAAAGCTGAACAAAATCAAAATCACTCGTCTTTTGCATGTAGTATTTATATGAATGCCATGCAGTTTTTCCCTTGAAATATTTGTCAATTCCTGTGAAAAACGATGGAAGCCGTTCTCAACTTGGGGACAATTTAATTTGGTAATATCAACTAAGTTGAAATTATGAATTGGCCACCGTGAAGAGTTTAAAAGCTGACGTTTCGAGCGTTAGCCCTTCGTCAGAGCGAATGGAGGAATTGTGGGTTGTGTGCGGGTTTTATGCAGAGAGCGGGAGCTACGATATTGGTGGGAACATGGTGACGGGAAAATCACGAAGAAATTAGCAGAATGAAAAGCGTTCTTTGATACCTATGGGGTTAAGAGTGCCGATTTGAAATACAATATTTCCTGAAAATTTTGAAGGAAACCGTAAAAGGGCTGACAATAAAGCCAAGTAGTTCAAGCATGTGTTCCCATGCAGTTTATCGTGAATCCGTTTTGAGACTATATGCAAATTACGTCTTGCTTGCAAAGCAACGCAAAATTTGCATATCAGGCTGTGTAGTAACAGGCTGAGCAGTAATTGGTAGATAAGGTCTTTTTGCCATATGTCTCTTTTCTTTTGATTTTGACGACCGTTGTTCCGAAGTTTTCAATCAAATCATGATCAGTTCAAAACAGAAAAGAGGTTTCGATGGTTTTAATTGACAGAACTACCGTGCGTAATTTGTATAGCGCGGCAATATAGTATGATATATTTACGAACATGCCTGCCGACCATACTTCCGAAAGAGCAAAAAACTTCCATCATTTCCCCAAGAGCAGGAATACGCAAAGCTTTGTCTTTCTTATTAGAGTATTTATTTAGTTAACGTGTCAAATAAACATGCACTAATGAGGTTGATTTAATTACATAAAATTGAGGGGTACGATTCTTCAAAAGTAAGATAAATTCTTGGTAAAATAGTTTATTAGCGATCTAAAGAGAAATCTGCTACCCCAAAGTAACGCATTATGGACAGAGACCGCATACTTCCTTTCCCCCCACACCATGACGTTTTCAGGAGCAGCCGTTTTGATCTAGCTGCAACCTAAAGGACAGTTCATGTCAAACTTACGAAAACCGCAGAATGGAGAAAACGGAAAAAAAGAAAAACTTTGGACTCTTACGAACAGCTAAGAATATATAATATTTGAGTAAGGTGACTATATTTACTTTGCTATTTGCATCGGAGTCGTGTTAATTTTCATTATATCAGTGTCTTGATGGTCAGATGTACACAACAGGATGGCGTGATTGTATGTCTTTCTTCACGATTTTCAAAAAAATTGTTAAAAATCTCCAATTCATTTCCCCAAACTAAACTTTACATATTTTGAAAGATCATAAACTCTTATATTGTAATTCGTAATCTTACGAAATTCTGATCGAAGGAAAATGCTCAAAATTATCGTTGTTGTTCGCCTACTGTTTTTATGCAACACGGAAGAGCCAGAGGCCTTTGACTTCTCTTGAATATACTGGGATTAATCTAATCTCTATGAAATGACGATGTTTAAACTATGAAAAGTTGTACAACAACTCAGAACTATGATGGCTTTCTCTAGCGCAGTTGTTTTGATGCGCGAGTCGAGTGAATCATGACCTATTTTAAACCTGTTCGGTGTCACCAAATCGATCCCGGGACTGAAAACGAAACTTTTTCGTTTTTCGGAAACAAATAACTTTTTCAAGGAGAAAACTACACTGCAATTGTATACTTTCTAAAGTCGGCTTCTTGAATGCAAAAGAACAGCGAATTTTAGTTTTTTTAACTTTGCCCTGCAATGTTTGATTTTTGCTCAGATTTGCAGTCTTAAATTGTCGAGTTTGATTACCAGATCGCAGCTGATCAAACTCCCTGCACTTCATTCCTCGCCTGGCTCCTTGTCCCACTAACTATCACAGTGCAAACGATTGAATATACACCCAGAAAGAAGCTAGTGAGGAAGAATAGTTAGTTACTGGGACGATAACAGCCTTCAAATATGAGATCAAAGTCACTGAATAGAAACATCGCATCTGTCGTGCAGTTAAGTGGTGGTGAAAGTAGAGCAGAAGCGACGTAATTCAGCGCCACGAGTTCTGCTTAAGGCCAGAGGCTGAGGGCGGTACTCAAGACAGAGGAAACAGTTTTTCCCATTACGGACTGTACTAGGCTGGTAAAAATAATAATAATAATAATAATAATAATAATAATAATAATAACGAATTTTTATACAGGATTGAAAACCCATCAGTGTGTAACACTGTTGTCCTTGGGGTTTTTTTTTTCTCAAAACTTAACGAAATGCTTGCCAAAAGAACCCGAAAGATTTAGGGCTCTAATTGAGGGTTTAGCTACGGAAAGATCCTCCATAAAAACAGAGGTTATTCAAAATGAAGAGAGCGACTTCACCGAAACATTTTTATTTGGTACGTAATGGTATGGGTAACTTAAAGGGCTTCCAGGAAAACTTTAAAACTTTTTTAAGAAATATCTGTCAAGATCTGACACCTGTCAGTCAGAGAGGAATATAGGGCATGTACTCTTTTCAATGAACAACAATACTGGAATGGCCAGTGGGGATGTGGGAAGGGGTAGGGACGAGGTCTGGAACCGAGAAACGATGATCACACAACTTTCAAAAGCGGTTAGCTGGCTCCTAAGCCGCGCGGGCCGCTAAAATTCTTTAAGCGCAAAATGTGGTCTTGCAAGTAAACCCTACTGTTAATTCATAACGGTTGAAAATTTTAATTTAGTAAAACTGCATGTTATGGATGCGCTCTTTTCTTTTGCCTGTGTTGATT